CCACTGGGGGCCCCACCGCGCCCCAGCCCCCCGTGGGCTCCGCACCAGCCCTGACCCGGGTAGGGGGTGGCGGCTGGGAGAAAAGGTCCCGGTGTGGGAGGGCCCCCGGGAAAGAGTTTGTTGTGGGGGGGTAGGGAGCTCTAAGAGAGCAGGGGTCGTGGGGTGGCAAGGCTTAGTATAGGAGAAAGGGACTGACATGAAGGAAGTCCCGTGGGGAGAGGATTTTGGTGTGACAGATACTCTGACGGGGAAGAACTCTGTGTTATTTGGGAATTTGGCTGTGGGGGCCTTCTAGGAATAGGCACAGTTATGGATTGACCCCTGTGGACAGAAGAGTGATTGGAGAAAAGGCCCTGATAGGAATATTGGATTGGGAGGAGGTGGGTAGGCTCCAATGTAGGGAAGAGAAGGATGATCACTATAAACGGTGAGAAGAGACATCTTCCCTTTGCTCCCATCAGGAGTGGGCCTTGGTTAGGAGGGGTACCTTGGCATAATATTGGGGAACTGGAATATGGTATGGAGAAATTTGCTGGATGGGTGGTCCCTGATGTGAGAGAAAATGATTTAGGAAAGAGGTCTTGGGATAATATGGGGAGGCCCCCCCAGGAAGGGTGTGCCCTGGTGGGCCAGATTGCCATAGGGATAGGACTCTTGTTATAGGGGTTCTTGGATAACATTGTGATCAAGACGTCCCCAAGGACCCTGATGTGGTTTTAGAGGCCTGAAGAGGACTTTACTATGGTTTCATGGGAGCCCAGAAGACTCTAATGTGGTTTGGGGTGATCCTAGACTTCCTGGATTGGGGGATCTGCTGGAAAGGGTAGATTTTGAAGCAGAGGAACCTTGCTGTGATAAGATGAAATCCTAAGGTTCAGGGAAGACTGCAGGAAGGCAGGATCTTGTGTGAGGGGGGCCTGGGAAGGGTCACAAGTGGAAATGGGGGAAAAAGAGTGAACCCTACTCCCCTATACTGTCTGTGGTTTCTATTTTCTTCTCTTCCTTCCCCCAATTATTGGTGTCTTTCTGTCCTTTTCTGTCCTGGCCCATATTCTTGCCCAACTCCCAATCACTCCCTTTCACATGTGCCTCTGTTTGTGCTCCCTACTTCATTTATTTGGTAATCATTTGTTGAGGGACTCTGCTGTGTCCCCCCTCCACTGGCCCCTACCACCACTATTGTCTGTCACCTCTTTTCATTCCCACCTGTTGCTCTGTTGAACTCTTTTCCTCTGCCCTCTGTGCCTTGCCTTCTCTCTGATGTCCACCTCTTTCCTGCACTGTCCCACACATCCCCTTCTTCCATGTTGTTCCCCTGCCTCCCGCCTGCTCTCAGGTCTCAGCGGCGGTGGCAGCCGAGGTGCAGGATGCGAGAAGGCGCCCCCCGGCCGGGCTCCCGCTCCAGGCCTCGCTCCCCTGCGGCCCTCTGAGCCCACCATGGCCGTCCCACCGGGCCATGGTCCCTTCTCTGGCTTCCCGGGGCCCCAGGAGCACACGCAGGTACGCGTTCAGCTGGCTCCTCACCTGCCTGGGGTAGGGGGAGGCTGGGGATAGAAGGATCTTGGTGCCAAAAGATAGTGTGGTTGCCCAGGACAGTCTCCAAGGGGCATGAAGGGCCCCATGAGAGTTGAATATAATAGAGGAGTTGCTGGCAGAGTCAGGGTTTGGAGGGCCTGGGTTAAAATCCAGACATGATGGTAAAATTACTTAGGTTCTTCATGCTTCAGTTTTCTATTTTGTAAAATTGGGGCCAATAATGATACCTACCTCACAGGGTTGTTGTGAGGATTAAACCAGTTAACGAAATGCATGTAAAATGCTGAGGGCAGTGCCTGGCACATAGTAAACAATAAATGTTCACTAAGAAAAAAAAGTCCAGCGTGAAAGATCTGGAGGGGCTGAAAGGGGAGGAAAGTTGAGCCTGAAGGGTCTTGAAGCCAGCAGGACCTAGGGTACAGGGTATAGATCTCCAAGGGTAGAGACTGTTAAGGTTCTGAAATGTAGAGCTTGGAGTGGGAAGTCCAGGGTGCTGGATCCAGATTTAGGACCATTGGTGTGAAATAACTGCTCAGAGTAGGGGGTGAGCATTGGGAAGGCCCCAAGGGATGGGGGCAAAGCAAGATGGGATACCCAGATGGATGGTCTCAGGCGAAGGGTTGGGGGGCAGAGTCTAGGCTTTCTGTGTGATCTCTTGAGTACTGAGGTTCAAAAAGGAATAAAGTTGTGGGATGAAAGGTCACGGGTAAATAAATAGTTCACCATGCATTCACTCAGCCAATCTTTAATGATTGTCCATTATATGCCAGGCCCTGCTCCAGGCACTGGAGATATACCGCAAAAACAAGACAAAGCCTCTGCCCTCGGGGACTTTCTCTTCTAGTGGGGTTGTCAGACAATGACCAAATAAATATACGTGTGGTAATGATGAGCCAGCCACCCATTAATTCTCCCCCTTGAGGCTGAAGGTAAAGGCCTGTCCTCAGTGCCCCCCTCTCACCCCACCCAGCAGGTATTGCCTGATGTGCGGCTCTTGCCTCGGAGGCTTCCCCTGGCCTTCCGGGATGCGACCACGGCCCCACTGCGCAAGCTCTCCGTGGACCTCATCAAGACCTACAAGCACATCAATGAGGTAGGAAGGGGGTAGGGGACCCGGGCTGAGTGCTGAGGGGTCCTGGCTGCTGGCACAGGTCACTCATCAGTCCTCATTTCCTGGCTGGCTGGCTGGGCAGGTCTACTATGCGAAGAAGAAGCGGCGGGCCCAGCAGGCACCTCCTCAGGACTCAAGCACCAAGAAGGAGAAGAAGGTCCTGAACCATGGTTATGACGATGACAACCATGACTACATAGTGCGCAGTGGCGAGCGCTGGCTGGAGCGTTATGAGATTGACTCCCTCATTGGCAAAGGCTCCTTTGGCCAGGTGCGGGATGCCCCACCACACCCATCCAGATCCAGAGATTGGGGGACATGGGCACCCCCTGGTGTTGATTCACACAGTCAGTGGTTCAGTGGCTTCAAGCTCTATGCTGGGCTATTCACCCCAGCCCCGTCACTTGGTTTCCCTGTGCCTCAGTTTCCTTTTCTTTAAAGAACTGCAATTAACGAGACTCTTCACATGAGGTGGTTGTGTTATTTCATGTTCAGTGTTTTATACTAGTGTCTGTTGGTAAGCACTCAATTTTGAAATCCTGTTAGTAATATTGATAGTGATATTAGTGAGCCTCCTTGGCTGGAGGGAAAACAGTGATGCCTGGCTCAGTCTTTCCCCCACCTCCCATTTCCCTCACTTTGTTACATCCCCTGCCCCTACAGGTGGTGAAAGCCTATGATCATCAGACCCAGGAGCTGGTGGCCATCAAGATCATCAAGAACAAAAAGGCCTTCCTGAACCAGGCCCAGATTGAGCTGCGGCTACTGGAGCTGATGAACCAGCATGACACGGAGATGAAGTACTACATAGGTGAGGCTTGAGGCTGAGCTGCTCAGGGATGGGTCACTCCTGCTATAGGATGGGGTTAGTGACCTCAGGGCAGAGTTTGGTCTATAATTCCCTGACATCACTGATTCTTCTGCCACTTTAATGTTTTTTGTCCTATTCACAAGAATGCTGGTCAAAGTTTATTGGGTGCTAAGGGTCAGGTTCTTTACATAAATTAGCTCTTGTCTGCCTCACCACAGTGCCACGGAAGGGGGCATCATTGCCTACAGTCTGGAGATGAAGAAACGAAGCATTCAGGTGCTATCACTTGTATAAGGTCACAGAGTGTGTACTCAGTAGAACTGTAATTTGACCAGGCAGTGGACTCCAGAGCCTTTACTCTTAACATCTTTGCCAGTCTTTTCCCTCTTGCTTTTACTTGTTCCTCTTTAGAAAGAGCAAGAGAATTTAAAGAGTATTTTCTTTAAATATAAATCCTCACAGTAAATGAAAAATAGTAGTTTTTGTCACCAAGAAAAACAACAAAAAAAACCCACTGACTAAAACAAGGTTATAAAATTAAATGAGGCGCTGTAGAATGGTGTTAAAGTCCTGTCAGCACCAAATGGAAACTTTCTCTTTGGTTTAATCTGACATTTTGACAAGAGACTTGAAAAGAACTTACTTTTCTTCTTTTTTTTTTAAATATATCTTTATTGGTTTCAGAGCGAGGAAAGGAGAGGGAGAGAGAGGTAGAAACATCAATGATGAGAGAGAGTCATTGATCGGCTGCCTCCTGCACGCTTCCGACTGGGGATCAAGCCCGCAAACCAGGCATGTGCCCTGACCAGGAATCGAACAGCAATCTCCTAGATCCTGGGCCAATGCTCAACTGCTGAGCCACGCCTGGCTGGGCAGAATTTACTTTTCTTAATCAAGAAAATCAAGTTTTTTTTTTTGTAAGATTCAAGTTCCAACCAAGCTGCTGGGACCTGTGGGCACACCACACTTTGGCCAGTGCTCAAGAAACAGACATAGATCTGTTTTTGGCCTCTCTCCTTGATTACTGTGTACCCCAGGCCACCAGTGGCCCTCTCTGAGCCTCAGTTTTTTCTCCATCCGCCTATTTTGGTCCCCTTCCTGACAGTGCACCTGAAGCGGCACTTCATGTTCCGGAACCACCTGTGCCTGGTGTTCGAGCTGCTTTCCTACAACCTGTATGACCTCCTGCGCAACACACACTTCCGAGGTGTCTCGCTGAATCTGACGCGGAAGCTGGCGCAGCAGCTCTGCACTGCGCTTCTCTTTCTGGCCACACCTGAGCTTAGCATCATTCACTGCGACCTCAAGCCCGAGAACATCCTGCTCTGCAACCCCAAGCGCAGTGCCATCAAGATCGTGGACTTTGGCAGCTCCTGTCAGCTCGGCCAGCGGGTAGGGCCTGACCTGGCCGCAAGGGCAGGATTAGTGGTGTGGGGGGGTGGCGGGCAGCTGGTGGCTGGTGATTAAGGGGCCTAAGGTAGGCAGGATGCACTTCAGTGCATCCTGAAGTGTCTGATGCCTGAGGAATAGTGCTTGGGATGGGGTGTCAGTGGGTAGGAAGGGTGGAGCCAGTGTGTGAAGTGGGGAAAGGAGAGGACCATAGGGTATACTGCCCAGTGAGAAAGGGAAGAGTGAAGCCTGGGAGCAGGGCCAGTTTTGAGGCTGCCAGATGTGGCTGGGGAATTTGAGTTGGCTTTGAACCTAGTTGGCACTTTACTAAGTTTTGTTTACCCTGTGCTCTGAAAGCTGGAATGGAAGGGAGGGAGGGTGCTTCAGCTTTGCAGCTTCCTATAAGCAGTCGTTTGAGAAAATGATGGTGGTGGCATGGAAAGGGTCTGGATTGGGATGGTGGGAAGGGCCTGGGTTTGCAGACTGCCAAACTCTGGTGACTAAGAGGGGCCCTGAGTTAGGCTGATAGATGGAGATCAGGATCTGACTAGGCCAGCAGACTCCTGAGGCTGATGAGTAAAGTGGAGGTAATGGTTCCTGTAAAGTTGGTGGTGGTAACATCAGGGTTTGTAGCCCCTATCTCCAGTTTTGGGGCAGAAGGCTTGTCGTAGCTTTGGGGGGTGTCAGTGGCACCAGTAGGAGAGGCTTGGGTCTCTAATTACTGCCTTCTCTCCTCCCTCAGATTTACCAGTACATCCAGAGCCGCTTCTATCGGTCACCCGAGGTGCTCTTGGGCACGCCCTATGACCTGGCCATTGATATGTGGTCCCTGGGCTGCATCCTGGTAGAGATGCACACTGGAGAGCCCCTCTTCAGTGGCTCCAATGAGGTGTGCTCCTGAGGAGGGTATGTGTTGGAGGGGGTGGAGGCCTGGCTGGCCTGATGACCCTGACTGCTCACCTGCTCGCAGGTGGACCAGATGAACCGGATTGTGGAGGTGCTGGGCATTCCACCAGCCCCCATGCTAGACCAGGCACCCAAGGCTCGCAAGTACTTTGAACGGCTGCCTGGGGGTGGCTGGACCCTACGAAGGACAAAGGAACTCAGGAAGGTGCGGCCCCTGCCCTTTGCCGCTCCTCCTACCCTGGTGGCCCCTCACTCTCTCACACTTGGGGCGCCCTCTCTCCCTGCTTCCTCTCCCTTGTGTCTTTCCCTTCCTTCCTATCCCCCTTGTCTGTCTTTTCCTTCCTCCCCAATCCACCCTATCTCTCCTACCCACCCCACAACTCTTCTTAGCTTCTCTTTCCCACTTTCTCTCTTGTGCCTCTGTTTCCCCGTGTGTGTCTCCCTGCCCCTCCTGCCCACTGACGGCCACTCTCTTGCCC